CAGTTCTTTGATTCTTGGATGAATCCCATCATGAAGCCCCATAGTCTTATAGGGACTCTGGAGCAGCAGATCCCACAATGATAAGCAACTGCTTATCATTCTGGGAGTTTATCATTCTCCCAGCCATGGTCCTCTAGCTCTGGGCACAGAGACCCTCTTAGCCCATCATCAGTTGAAGACAGAGGCAAAGAAACATTAAATGTGTCAGATGTGTGCTCATGTCACATGTGCACAATACATGCATAGTGTCAGTCAGACTCAGAGTGGTGAGACTGTGACTGTATATGGAAGGTCATATTAGTTACGTTATCAAAACTGTGGTTTCTAGTCTCTCTTTGCTGTGTGTCTGTGAAGACGGATTTATGGAGCTGCTTGGAGCCATGCCTTAAACAGAAGATACTTCTGAACTCCTAAGGTGACTGTTCTGCTCCTGGTACTGAAGCTATCCCAGGTATCTCTGCGTAGTTCTTTATCTATCTGCTTAAATCCTTGACTCTGAATATGAGTCCATGTTTCTAGATCTGAAAGTAAGGACAGTTTTAGTCCCCGTTAATAAGTGTTGATAGATGGGTAGACAATGCTGAGCTACCAGAATGGGATCCAAAACTCCCGGTGTGCTTTTCACTACTGTAATTCAGGCACTAAATGTCAGTGGTTCCCACTGTGAAGCTGCTTCTCTTACTGGATGACTTAGGAAGTCTTAGCCATTTCTCAGGCTGTAAACTCTTGATAGTGATGCTTCTTTAGCAGGCGTTTGTGTATTTGTTTACAACACAGCAAATACAGGAAGGAGAGCTGTATTGGAACTCTAGTCTTAGAAGTGTTTTTATCTAACTACCTCAAGTTATTTTGGACCTTCCTATTTACTGCACTGATGTGGAAAGGGTGTTATGTCTTGTTCTGTGTGCTGTGTCTTCTGAGCACAGAAGACCTTTAAAAATTTGCCTTCTCAGTTGGAAAGAATCTTTGAAGTAAGAGTCCTGGCTTTCTACAGCATCTTTATATAATTTTTGCTTAATATAGCTGTTTTGTAGGAATGCCAGAGGTAATGGCTGTTCAACGCCTCACTAATCCAAGCCTAGGCAAAAAGGAAAGGAAACTTAGGAAAGAAGTTCCTGTGCTAAGGTTCAAAGTTTGTCTTTTGAGATACTTTTCTCCAGTCATGGCTCCAATACATTCTAATGACTGGAGTGACTCTATTCACCGAAAAGAAACTGTGGAACAGAAGCTGTGCTGTGTCTCTGGGGTACCACTCTGTAGGTGAAACCACCAAATGCAGCATTGTGGGACCAGTTGACTCTGTGTGCTCACCAGCATCCCAACAACTGATGCTCTGCATAGTTTTGAGGTATTTTTCTTTAAGGTTACATTTTGGGATCTGAAATCCATTCCTTGAAGGACAGTTTGCTGTCATTTGCCTAATGGTTTCTCCAGAAGAAATATATACATTGCTGTAGAAAGCAAAGAATGTATTACTTTAATTTTTTTAGTCAGTTTCTCTGTATCCTACTCATAATGTTTTTGAAATTTTTTTGAGTGGTAATAATTTAGGAATAAAAGTCATGTCTTTGGTGAACTATTTATCTCTGCAAGATAGAAGACTCGAATGCTTCTTTGAACTTTTGTAGGCCTTGAAAGTTCGAACAGCAATAATAAGACTGGCTGTCCTAAGACAGCCTCTACAAACCCAGAATAAAAATATGGAGTGGAAGGTTTGACAAAGCAATTCATTCTCACCCCTCTCACCTTAAAAAATGCAAACTTTTTTTTACTGAAGAATGTTATTTAAAGAGAACGAAGGTTCTCTTTTCTTAAAAAATTGGTTGAAGTTTAATGTAAAGGGACATTACTCAAGCACAAAGTTTGGGTTCTAAAACTCTCATACATAGTATTAGAGAAGGCAGAAGGTTTTCAGAATTTTCAGAAAGATATACTTATGGGGATAGTTTCTGCCTAATTATGTAGGACAAAAGGACAAATCTCGTGGGTACTATTTCAGCTATGGGACTGGTAGTTTCTTTAAATACGGGGTGGTTAATGTCCCTTGTTTGATAAACTCCATGAAAATGGTTTTCTTCTTGACTGTGAGTCTAAAGAAGCACACTGTGTGAGGTAGGCAGCTGAAGGGAAGAGGTCCAGAGGAGCCTCAGGAGCAGTTCCCAGGCAAAAGATGAGAGTGGCAGCCTGAGTTGTCCACTGCTCCAGGGCATGACAGGAGGGAATAAGCCATTGGGTTCCAGAGGGACCTGACAAGCTGTCTCCAGCTTCCTCCGCAGGCTGGGGTGGTATTGGATTACACTGGTCTGCAGGTCCTACTGGAATGGCTTGTGACCTGTATGCAGATCAAGGTCTGGCATTTGGTTTTGCTTGGCTTATGTTTGTGATCCAAACAGTCTTCAGATACACATTTGTGCAAATCCTACCCTTTTTCTCTCCTGCTTGAACTGCTGGAATTTGAAATGCATGGGTATCCACAGATCAGCCCTGTCCCTTAGGCTTGTTTGGGTGTGGGGGCCTTTGCATAGGATACTTAAAAACATGCAGCACATCCTGATTCCTCCTTGTTCTCGTTACAGAGTCATAGATTCACAGAATAGAACCACAGAATCATTTAGGTTGGAAAACAGCCTTAAAATCATCAAGTCCAACAGGAAACCCAGCACTGTCAACCTTGTACTTAAGCTCCACATTTACATATCTTCTAAATACCTCCACGGGTGGTGGCTCAAATACTTCCCTGGGCAACCTATTCCAATGTTTGATGACCCTTTTGGTGAAGAAATTTCTCGTAATACCCAATCTAAACTTCCCCTGGCACTACTTGAGGCCATTTCCTCTTGTCTTGTTGATTGTTACCTCAGAAAAGAGACTGACCCCCACTTGGCTACAACCTCCTTACAGGTGGTTGTAGAGAGTGATAAGGTCCCCCTGAGCCTTCTTTTCTCCAGGATAAACTACCTCAGTTCCCTAAGTTGCTCCTCATATGACCCGTGCTCCAGACCCTTCACCATCTCCACTGCCTTTCTCTGGACACACTCCAGCACCTCAGGGTCTTTCTTGAAGTAATGGGCCCAGAACTGAACACAGGGTTCAAGGTGCAGCCTCACTAGTGCTGAGTACAGGGGGATGATCACTGCCCTGGTCCTGCTGGCCACAGTATTGCTGATACAGGCCAGGATGCCGTCTGGGCATCTGTATCTGGGCACCGTGCATGCCCATGTTCAGCCAGCTGTCAACCATCTCTATAACTTAGGTGTTGGCCTATATTCAAAGCAAAATAAATGTAAATATCTGCAATCTTCTCTTTCCTTCTGTTTTTAAGATAATCTTGTGACACTCCCTACTGTTGCCTCTCCATCAAGTTATGGAGTTGTTAGCAAATTCACTTAATCCAAAAGTTTTCATACCTACAAGAATTTTTGCAGCAGTGTAGAGCCTTCTCTCCAAATTCTGACAAAATATTTTAGTTACTACATTTAAAACTACTACGTAAGGAATGTTGTTTTGTCTGTCTGTTTATCTGATGTCATGTTTTCCATGTAAAAAAGTAGAGGCATATAAATAGTGTAATTGAAAATATATTTCATGTGTTTTACCCGATACCTTCTCTTTGCAGGAACTCTAGCTTTCTTCAGTGGTGCATTTGATGTTTTGCACTGGCTCTCAAAAACTACTTTGTAGAAGTGGTATTTAAGTAGTGTTCCAGAGACTGCATGAGATAGCCTGCTCAGCTGCTCTGTCTCTTCTCTTTCAGTCTGTAAATATAAAAGGTCTCTTCATAGAGGTAGAAATGTAGCAATGGTAAACAAAGGTTCTGCAAATAATATTCTGCAGTTTCTACAATTAATACTTCTGTTTAGTGTAACACAGGCTAAGATAAAACTATTTGTCAGAAGTCTTGGTTTATTTTGGGTAGTAGTGTGTATGTATTATCTGGACCTGGTTTGTAGAATTCTCTTCTACAGAGTATTTCTGAAGAGGAGTATTTAATAATGGACAGAATTGAATATTTATATTGATGACCAAGATTAAGATAAGTCCTTATTAAGATAAGTCCTTATTAAGATAAGTCCTTAGTTTATTACAAAGGGAAAAAGGACACTAAAAACTATGTACTCAGGGCACTTGCACTAGGAAATAAGCAATCTATTAGCAAACAAGCTTGGGAGGAAACTCATATTTGGATAGGCAGCTTATATCATTGGAGACTTTCTTACCTCTGCAATTTCTGAGATACCAGTGCTACAGTCTGATTTAGCAGTTGCTGTATTCCTAGAAGCATTGGGTCAGATCTTCAGTGTCTTAATTGTAGATAAATGGAAGGAAATCTCTCCTAGCTAAGGTACTTCCATTAGGCAAGAGTCAGATATAAAGAAAAAATTAAATTATGTTTGAATTTTGTTATAGGCAACTTGATCTTTATTGTGCTCAACCAATTTGTTTATGGAGAGAGTTCAGCTTTGTTAGAAGATCTGGATATCTAATGCATAGCTTCTGTTATTTTTCAGCCAGCTTTCTAATTTCATCAGTTTTAGTTCTTTGTTCCTCTCCCTGAAATCTCTAGATCAGTTGTATTGTGAAAACATGAAAAAAAAACCAACCCAAAGTCAAGAATATTTTCTTTCTGTTGTGACTGTTGTGTCATGCAATGTTCATGCATTAAAAATGATCAAAAAAAAATCATGGTGGAATAGCAGGGGATGGTGACTTCGAAGTACTTTGTCTCCTTCTCTTTTACACTGCAATGTGAATTAGGCTTTTTCACTCAAATACCCAAACTTATGAAAACCCTAAGCTAGGTAGAGAGTGTCATTCTGTTTCACTGAAGACTGTGTTGAGTTTGATTCACTGCTACATTACAGGAGGAACTGCAGCAAAACCTCCTGGTAATAACATGAAGGGCTGCAGAATCAGGACCTGTATCAGTTTTAATGCTGTTTGCAAAGAATGTGAATGTTGGATTTTTTCCCCACGTCAATATTTTTTTTCCTTTTCAACAGGATCTACTCTGTGTAGCTATGAACTGCAGTCATCAGAATATACTACAGACCCAAGGGCTGCCAAGTTATGTCCTAAATATCCTGTTCCAGAGAGGTAATATTAACATCTTGTCTGATTGGGGATGGAGGGAGCAGAGATTTGGTTTGATTGTGACAGTTCTTTAGAAAATACACAGCACACATTTACTCTTACCAGATGTTTTAGTGTATTTTTTTAGAGGTTGTGAAAGTAACTCTTAAAGAAAAACCCAAACTATCTGTGCATGTGTTACTGAGGGTATTGAGCTGGTATCTGCAGGTTCTCTTCTGTCTCATGTGACTGACATTGTACGGTATCAGCTGCTTTACTGCCTTTCACCCTATCTATAGCCAGCTGCCTGTCAGCAATGCAGATCAGAGACAATTACGAAACACTTTTAATCTTCGGGAGGAGAAAGTATATAGGGACACACAGCTCTCTGCAGCATTCACTTCTACCTTACCTCAGCCAGCCAGATGAAAATTGCTTCATTTTTTACTCTTTTAGTCCCCAAATGATTAGAGGATAGCCAAACACCAAAGAGATGACTGTATTTTATTAACAGATCATTTTGAATTTTATTGTTTTAAATATTATGTTAGACTGCTTTTTGTGAAATAGGATAGAAAAGTTGATAGCTTAATAAACTCTTCTAGCTGTGCCTGCTGGACCTGTGGAGATGAGTGTTGCTGAGAAAAGAAGTGATCTGTAAGCTGTTGTGCACACCCTTCTGTCAGTAACTCCACTAACTCAAGAAGAACCATGTTGTGTTTTCTCGAAGTTTAGCTTCTCAAACATGCTCATTAGTGGGTTGTAACTGCAAGTCTTTTCCTATGAATAGTTTTCTGTTACGGTTTTAGTAAATATTGTGTTCGTGTCAGTTCTAGAAACTCTGATTTGAAGTCTTTCTTGTTTACATGTTAGTGTCTCCAGTGAATATTTTTTTATATTGTAGTGACAATTAGTGGAATCTGAAATATTAACTGTTTTTTTACTATTCCCCACAGTAGATTCATGTTCCATGCAGCTAACCAGCTGTTATAGCAGTAATACAAAACCAAATGAAAACTTCAGTGCCAGCTTGCATACTGAAAAGGCTTGTTAGTCTTAATTTTTGCCAGAATGATATTGACTTTTCTCATTGTGTGTTCCCATGTCGTTCAGTCTCAATGAATATGGCTTAATAAGAAAACAGAAGGATAGAACAATGTGTCAGAGCTCTAATGATGCTATTTAAATTCCTCACAGAAATGACCCTAAGTTATTTTAAAAAAACCTATTGTGTAAAGTGGAGTATTTTCCATTTTTCTATGTGATATTACTAAAATGTACACTATGTTTGAGTATTTTTGAGATTGAAAAGTCTGAATTTAGTATCCTAAGATACTAAATCTTTTTTGTCCTAAGACAAAAAAGGCCAACATTGTATCTGTAAAGCACCTTTCTTCAGGTTTTTATAGTTAAATTATTTGAGTAAGTTAGTTAATTTGGAGGAGGAATGAAATAAGTCATTTGTTGAGACAACCAAATGAAAACCCAACACCTTGTAGACTGAGGCACTCAGGAGAACTTACCTAACACTCAGTCTTGATCTGTATCTTGGTTTAACCCCAGCCAGCAACCAAGCACCATACAGCTACTTGCTCACTCCCCCATCAGTAAAATCGGGCAGAGAATCAGAAGGGTGAAAGTGAGAAAAGCTGTGGGTCCACACAGGCAAACAAAGGAAAACAAGGAATTAATTCACTGCTTCCCATGGGCAGGCAGGTGTTCAACCACCTCCAGGAGAGCAGGGCCACGTCAGTATATAGCACATAATGGTTTTGTGGGAAGACAAACACCATCATTCCAAATATCCCCCCTTTCTTCTTTCTTCCCCCCACTTTATGTGCTGAGCATGATGTCACATGGTCTGGAATATCCCTGTGGTCAGTTGGGGTCACCTGTCCTGGCCGTGTCTCCTCCCAGCCTCCCATGCACCCCCAAATCCCTCCCTACTGTGGCAGTACAAAAAGCAGAAAAGGCCTTGGCTCTGTGCAAGCCCTGCTCAGCAATAACAAAAACATCTCTGTATTATCAACCCTGTGTTCAGCACAAATCCAAAACACAGCCCCCTGCTAGCCACTGCCAAGAAAATTAACTGTACCCCGGCTGAAACCAGCACAATCTGCCAAGAGTTATGAACTATCTGATTCCCATGATGTCCATGGGAGGGAGGTACCATATGGTGTAAGGACTGTCCCTTGATGTTTTCTGTTTGATGACCAGACTTCTCTCACACCCTTCAGTTGAGGCTCTCAATGGATTCTTACCCTCCAGCTTCAAGGCATTATGTCCAACTTTGACAGAGCAGTGTGGTCAGCGATACATGTTTCTTCCAGAAACCATACCCAGCCCGTATCAGCCTCAGGAGAGCATGACTTCACTGTTTTGAGGACCCTGGAGGAAAACCTGTCCAGTCCCTTCAGCAACCAGATGTGTTGAGCTGTGCCAAGGGGCTGCCTTGTAGAGGTTATAAACAGCAGCTAACAGTGGCATTCCAACCAGGCTCCCCTCACACAGGTTGCTGTATTTGCCCAGGGGCAGTAGTGAGAGGAAAAAACTCTCTGGAATCTAGTACTTGAATAATCAGATGTATCTCCTAACTTAATTTGAATATTGCTTTAAAAATACAACTTCTAAGACCATGCGTTCTGGCTTGAACTTTATTCGTTCTTGTTTATGAATAAGCATCGTGTTGCTATTCTTAGAAATTTGTAATTCCTTTTCAGTAGGTAATATACCAAGATATAATCCAGAGGCCATATAAAATAGCATGGGTCATGGAGAATAGATCTATTATTGTATTTTTTATTAAGACACTTCACCTCACATACTCATTCAGTCAGAACCACTGAAGCAGCAACAGATCTCAGGTGGATTTTCAGGAGTCCCATTTGCTCAAGGAAGCTTGTAGAAACCACTAACCTAATTTTTTTATTATTAATTAAAACAAAGTTAGCAATTAATCACGGCACATGAAAATTAGTAACTTAAAATATTTAGTAAAATTGCTATAGGTTAAGGGATATTAGATGAGCAATAATATAAACTGTCATGCAAAAAGCATGTTTTCCTCTGTTGGAATATATTTTGGAAGAGTACTTTAATCCAATTAGTTCTTTTTTTCAAAATGGATGGTTTTATGTATGAATGCAGGAATGACATTCTTTTGCCTACATCCAGCTCAAAATTTGAGTTCTATTACTGATATTGACAACTTCTAAATGCTCTAGGCTTCCTGCAAAACTGTAGCAGTTAACAATTAAATAAACCTCTCAAATTTCAGTCTTTTCCAGTAATACTGCATATAATGAGCTGCAGTACACTGCATATTCCAAAATAGGTTATGTTGTAAGAGGCTGAAAGAATACATGGTCTGCCTTTTAAATGGGGCAGCCATCATTATGAGTTTAATTTGTTTTTTAACAACTGTGACTAATCCACAATTACTTTTTTGCTGTGCTTAACTGCTGTCTTCATTACTACAAAAGTAGACCATCAGTGTGAGCATTTTGGAATGCATTTACATACTCAGCACAGTAAGTTTAGAACAATAAGATTTGCAATCATCACTGACTATAAACAAAAACCTAGGATCTACTAATTACTAAGGTATAGCAGGTGATCATAATTTCTCCCAATTTCTTTACAGAATAATTACACATGAATGGTTTTCAGCATGTCATCCTTTTTCCCCAAAAAACCCAACGTATAGAAAAGATGTGCCTAAGGCAGCTGCTTTACTCACTATGTGTTTTAAATGGTTAAAATTTTGGAAAGGCGTGGGCTTGAAAAATAGTTATTGAGGACAGAAAATTGCTGGTTTATAGGTCATTACTGAAATAGGGAAACTGCAGAAGATTATGTGCTTTGCTGCTACAGTCCACTGAAATCTTTTAAGTAATGAAAATTGGGCAGGGTGAAACAAATACAGAGGTTGGAAGAGAAGACTGACATAATATGAAAGACACTTTCATGAGATCCAATTACAGGAGGGAACATGTAATTCATGTCTGAAATGTAATTGGGAATTGATCAAATGATGTAATAGGCCACTTTGAGATCTGACATAGTTTATGAGCAAGAAAGACAGCTACTTAGTGGGAAACATTTAGAAAATAAAATTACCCACTTTTAAAGTAAAGTTTTTACTGTCTTGTATCTTTCCCTGATGGACTCGACTACAGGTTCTTCCTGGCATTCTGCAAAGTTTAGTGCATAGTCTCAGTAGTTGTTTGGAGGATGCTTCCAAAACAGTTGAAAACAATAGAAGCATCCTTGCGTATTCTGCGTAATTTTAACAAAGTTAATGAAAGTAAACCATGTGATTGTAATCTTTAATACAAGAATGAGTTTAATATGGGGAATGACTAGGAATAAATACATTGGTTTTTCTTGGCAGCAGTTGTAAATGCTGATGTCCTTTAGCACAAAATGTATGCTTTCAAGAAGAGTACTGTTATTCTGTGATTTCTTTTGCTGCATGTAAGGGCCAGTATTTTATTCAAACATGAGTGAAAGGCATTGTTTCAGTTGCTGGTTCACCGCCTGACACTTGAATGAGAGATGTTTAAGTGGAAATAGGAACATACATTTTCTGAGCCTTGTCATTTAATGGTGGGAGGGTAATAATTTCCTGTTGGAATGTATACTCCAGTCTCACAGGGTTATTTGTAAGAACTGCATCACTTCCCATTATGATCATCCTCATTCCAGTGGCACTTGTGCATTCAACGCATGGTTTCTGGTTATGATGTTATGAGGGTGGAATGATTGCATCTATTCACCTTTCATTTGTGTGTTGATGTGGCATTTATATTAAGTAGGAGTAATTTTTTTTTCTGATTTTTTTTTCTTGTGTCACCAGTGCACCTATTCCATTCTTCCATCGCTGTGCTCCTGTGAACATTTCCTGCTATGCCAAGTTTGCAGAGGCCCTGATCACCTTTGTCAGTGACAGTAGTGTCTTACACAGGCTGATTAGTGGAGTTATGACCAGCAAAGAGATTATAATGGGACTTTGCTTGTTATCACTAGGTAATTGTTTTTCTCATTACTAGCTATTTCTTAGTGTACTGCATTAGGAGATTGTTAACACCCTCTACCACAATATGAGCAAAAACCATGTATAATAGCAATGAGCCCTTAGAAATTATTCAGAATGCTTCTTTAAAATTTTATTTGACATCTGGGTAACTTTTTCAGAAGCAATATACATATGCATTCCTGTTTTTATTTCTCTTCCACTGATTACAAGATAGAGGATGTGTGGCTGTTGATTAGCTAACATTAGTTTTGATATGGTTAAGAGAGCATCTCCATTTTCCTAATTTTTATTATAATATTCCCCTTTCCCATTTGCAGTAGTCATCTTCTGCGAATCCAGGTCCAAATAAACCCTTTCCAAATAAAAAGAACAGGGCGAGAAGTCCACAACAGCGCACTCCTGTTGAATGTAGGGAATTTAGTTTGTTTCGTTTAACATATTTGTGCAGGGATATGAGAACTATCAGAGTGAAAACAAGACAGTTAGGTGCCTATTTGTTGTATTGTATGTTCCTTCTTCCCTTTCCCCCAAAATTTAAAACTTCAGGCCTTTAAAATCTGAGCCTTGTCTGAAGAGCTGGAAATTCCCAGGGGTATAGAGGTGCTGAATAGTTTCTGTAGTTGTGAGATGCCTATAGAGTGACACTTTGCACTGGACCAAGTATTGCTTTAACTAAGTCTTGTTGTTTAAGATGGAATGTTACCCACCCACATAAACTGCTTACCTAGTGAGCCTACTTTACTCATACCAAGTATAAAATCTGAAATACTAAAATGGGAGGATCAAGATAGTAGCCATGTATATGAGCAGTGTGTGGTATAGATAGAAGCACTGCAGAGCTCTGCTAGATATAACAGTCCTTTGTTTTCAGTCTGCCTTTGTGGTTAAAAAAAAAAAAAGAGTTGGGGGGAAGGGAAAAAGAAAGGGGACAAAAGAAAGAAAAGAGGATGGTAGATACCATTAAAAAAAAGACACACACACACAAGACCATTGTGTGTGTTCAACTGTAACTGGAAAGCTGTTTATTCTTCTATCTTGATAGCTCCAGTATTTGATAATAACGGTAGAAAGATTGTTCAGAATCTAAAAGCTGCTGGCTCATTAGCAGTGCTACTGTTCAGTGAAGAGTCAGAAGTTAGTACGGAGTTTACATACAGTTAATTTAAAAAATAGTTTGCATAACTTCATAGTTAAACAGAAATTATTTATTTTAAAACAATGGGTTAGACTGTGATTCAGAAAGCCAGGTTCCAGTGGCTTTCATGTAACTGCTGAATACAGACATGTATATATAAAAATATGAATGTGCACTTGTGCACACCACTCACTTAACCTTAGTTAGCTGTAATAGTTTTTTACCCATGACTGGCGTGACATTTTGCAATACATAGGCATCATATTAACTGCACTTGTTTGACAAGTGTATCTGAGTGCAAATTCTGCTCTGGTCCTCAGGAGGTGTGCTCATGTTACCAAACTCGAACTACTATCATGTCTTGCTGTCTGTTTGGTCATTGTCTAAGTACCCCCCTGTCTGTGTGCACGCATTATGTCTTGTATTTAATGTATCATGTAAATGTATTTATGCTCTCTTTGTTTCAATCAACAGTATCAAAGCAGAAGTTGTAAAGGTGCCTAATTTTATTTATTGTTCAGTGAGTTCGTAGGCCTTGGAAAAGAAATCTTTGTGTAAGAATTCTGTTGGAAGGCAGTTGTCATAGCCCAGTGGGAAAATTTGGAAGGCTGTTTCTACTTGAAGTAATTGCTCTGCTTATTTTATTTGTCTTCTTTTGCAGTGTTGTCCATGATTTTGATGGTTATAATAAGGTACATTTCAAGAGTACTTGTCTGGATTGTAACAATTCTTGTCATTCTGGGATCGCTTGGTAAGTCTTGTTTGTCTCCCAGTTTCTGAGTGCCCAGTTCTAATCTTTGTGCTCTGTGTCATCAGGCCAGCTACATCCTGCACAGATCTTGGGCCATGCATTTCCCTTCAGCTTTCGATTGAGTCCCTTTCAAGACACACATCAAAATGCCACCTTAGTAATTGCAGTCCTCTCCCAGAGACTATGTTGCTCCTTGGATATTTGCACTCCCTGCTTGGCAGGCAGGCTTCATGTCAGCCTAGCTCACTAGAGCCCACACAATCAGTGTGGGATATTCTCACAGAACTTGTAGCACAGCCCTAAATGTTGCCTGCAGTTCTTAACCAGCCTTCTAAATATGTCAGCACAGCATCTAGTCCGGGTGTGTCTGGTGGCACGCCCGCCCCATGGGTGTATTCAGGCATGCAGGAATCAAAGGGCAGCTGCTGTTTATGCAGCCTGACATGTTTACAACCCTGACATGTTCATCAACCCCTTCAGTCCTCTTGTGTAGCTCTTTAAGACCTGTTCTTGAAGAGAGAAGGCAAAGGTGCTTTTGTAGCGTTCCTAATCAAATCTCTGTATTTCCATATGACTCAGGAAGACCTGCATGTGAAATGCCATGCTGTATTGGAAGTGGCCAAAAATGATGTAGTTTGCATGAAAATAGGCTTATTTTATCACAATAACTTTAAAATTTGTAAAACTGAAGTTTTCTATTATTGTTACTCAGTAGCTAAGCCAAAATGTATGGGCAGATGACTGAAGGGCAGGAATAAAAGTAGAATAATCATATGAGGAAGAACTAGTGATTTAATTCTTGCAATTCATGTCTGCAAGGGATGAAAAAAAATCAGCAGACCTTCTGTATTTTTTCACAATCGCTTTGTTTTTCTGCTTATTGGTCTCAGGGCCTGTGACCACAGAAAAGAAAAAAAATAAATTTTTTTTTCATTGATATTCTTTTTAGAAGCTGATCAGTTATGCTGAGTGACTTATTGGCATCTGTTACTATATTCTAAAAAGTTTCATCCCATACAGAAACTGAATAAGAACCAATCACTTGTGAGACATACTGCTTGTTCTGTCTTCACTGTTTGTTTAGGAGATGCCAAAAGAGCATTCTTCATTTCAGACCTGAACAGGGTAGCTTCAGCATAAACTTGTGATCACAGAATGTGTAAGGTTGGAAGGGACCACAGAGGCTCATCTGGTACCACCCCCCTGCTGAGCTTATGCCTTTGATTCAGAAATAACAAGAGAACATACTCAAGAGAGAAAAAAGTGTATCAGAGGGGAGAGGTTATATCCCTGAGACCTGTCCTTTAGAAAAGTTCTGTCTCGGAAAGACAGCTAGAATGGGAGAATAATATTCTGACAATAAGACTAGGATTTTGTAACAGTGGTTAGAAGATAGTACCTCACATATTATTAGCCTCCTGTGCTTTTTACTGATGTTTGTCCCACTGCCCTTGACATTATCCGAAACAAGTGTACCTACGTATCATTAACCTGAGGTGTTTTTGCCAGCATTAGGCTGATCCTTCTTGTTTTGATTAGTCTTCCCAGGAATTGTAGACTCCTTGTTTTGTTGTTACTTCACATCATAATCCAGAAGTCCCTCTCTGTTCCCTCTCCTAAATTCTTACTCCCTGCATTATTATACACTTGTATACATACATACATCCACCCATATAATTCTTTATTCCTTTTGTTCCTCTATTACCTGTCTAGTGGGAGCTGTGTTTTTCATTGTTGGGGCTCCTCATGAACTAGTTCTTTCATGCACTTCACCCTAAAACATGGAGTCAAGGTTCTGCAAGTCTCTTAAGTTGTTGTAGTGGGGTGAGACTGTGAAAAGAGGAGGGCAACAGAGGAGAACCGAGCACTTCTCCCTCCCCTGAAGTTCCTGTTGGGTTGAGCATGAGTGCTCTTGAGTATTCTGTACCAGACTAAACTTACAAGAAGGAACTGTTTCATTTCCTTGGGACTAGGTAGTATGACTATGTCATACAGAGGAGATGTCTTTCATTTATCCTTTTTTTCTTTCTCACTAAAACACAGGTGGTACAGGAGTCCTGTGGTGGCTCTATGCTAAGAAACGAATGTCTGCCAGTGCTCTTGAGACTCAAATAGCCAAAGACAATCTTCAGGCTCTCTTGATCTATGCCATTGCAGCTACAGTCTTCACGGTATGCTTTGCTAATGAGTGTACTATTTTTTTGTTCTGACTTCCTTTTGGTCTCTAATTTTTTTTATTCAGGGGAAAGGTTTTTATTGCAGACATTTTTGAACAGTTTATTTCTGCCACAAGTTCTGTTGCAGTGATTTTTTTTTATTTTGTTATTTTATTTTTTTAACTTTCAGGAACTGTTCCCTAATATCTGATTTTGAGTCAGGAGAGACCTTCTAAACCCTGCAGCTACTTTCGACTACTGTAAAATGTCCACAGGGACTTCCAAGAATAGGTACAATATTGGACTGCAAATCCAAAGAGATTTTTCTTAGGTTCCCAGTTCAGAGGTACTTAGTCATTTTAGTGTATCTAAAAGTCCTTAGGACATTCCTACTTCTTGAAATTAGTTGTTCCCAAATTTGTTCCGTTTACAGAAGGATCATTGTGAACTGAAATGCTAACACTGATTATCTTGTTTGGGCCCTGATGTTAATTTCACAGTCACTGACTTTACTTTTAAAAATTGACAATGTTTGACTAACTTCCCAGGAATTGTAGACTCCCTCTTTTGCTCTTCTTCTTGTTTCACATCCTAATCGAAAGGTCCCTCTCTGTTCCCCTTCCTAAATTCTTACTCCCTGCATTTTTATAGATACGTACGTACTACAAGACCACCACAGCATGGTCAGATATAAATGTTAAATTATATTCTTTGTTAAAACTTGCTGATTTCACTGGTTTGTACAACATAATTGGGGATAGAATCTAGTCTAATCTCATCAGCCTAAGGCTGGTGATGATTTCAAATACATAATTATGAGATTGGAATTCCACGAAAGTATAACCTGGAAAATAATTTATCACCAGAAGAAGCTAACAGCGGTTTTACATTTTGATTTTGTGATCTTATAAATGTGTTAAATTTAGCGTGTTTGAATATCCTAGCTTTGTGAAATAATAGCTCGCTTATTTTTCAGTTCTCTAAAATGTGATTTGGAAACTTCTCCCTCTAGGTTATCTTATTCTTGATCATGTTAATAATGCGCAAAAGAGTAGCTCTCACCATTGCCTTGTTCCACGTGGCCGGCAAGGTCTTCATTCACCTGCCACTGCTAGTCTTCCAGCCATTTTGGACATTCTTTGTGCTTATCCTCTTCTGGGCATACTGGATCACAGTCCTGCTTTTCCTTGGTACTACAGGTGAGCATCTGTTGCTTGTTTTAAATAATTTTCACCTAACTTTTGTATGTTTTCGAGCAGAGTTGGCTAAAAAGCATGTGGGAACCTCTAAGAAAAAAAGCCCACCTGTTGTGCTTCTGTTCTCACCTGCTTCACTGACTTCAAAACACTTATTTCGAGAAAGTTATTGTGCATTTGAGTCTGCATTCTCACGTTGTACTTTGTGTGTTAGACTGGCTTTTTATTTTGATGCAAGTTGGCATGTTGCAAACCACAAGACTCTGTTAATACAACTTCTATAACAATTTTTTTCAATAATTCCGTCTAATTTTACACAAGCAAGTTAAAAACAGCATAATCTTGCGGCTGATCTCTCCAAGTAATTGTATGGTAGCCAGTGCTCACACAGATGAAGGCATAGTAATGAAAGGACTGTTCCACAGAATTGCTGTCTCCCGCAATGTAAATATAGTGGAATTCATTTTCAGTTGTTTGTAACTTAGGTTTCCATTATTATTCCACAATTATTAGGGAGATTCTTCTGCTCTTTGTACGCTGTATTCCGAGACTAGCCAATGTATTCTTAATTCCAACCCGCTGTGAAGACCATAAAAGGTGAAAGCTTTGTTTGTGTTCAGAGTCTGACAAGACCTTCTAGAATTAGTCAGTCCTATAGGTCCAAATCTTAGTCACTTCAGCAAAGAAACTTTGCAGTTGCTTTTTAAGATGGGAGATGTCTGCGTTATCTTGCAGTGCGTTGCAGGCGATGCAGACCGCCACTCACTGTTCAAATCTAAGAATTCTGAAATGTGTTGTTTATTGCCGATCCAAAAGTAGCGGAGTTTCAGGTCACAAAGCTATTTCACAATAATACAATATCAGTATCTTTCATATCCCGAGTTCTTTAGTGAGGGTTGGAGGTAACACTTCATGTGTTCTTGTTCTCGTTACTGTTGAAATTTTTAGCTTTCATTACATGCTGTGTGATGTGCAGAAAATGTTGGGCTCTGAAAGTCTCAGCCCTGTGCTTCACTCTCTGAGTCAGGTCACTGCACGGGCACTAAATTTGTAGCAGAATTTAGTCTGATATTATATTTTACTGACAGAACCCTTCAACTAGCCTTGATTCTGTAAAAGCTAATTTATCCTTTTAGCTTATATACACTCATTATCTTCACTGTTATCAGTTAGGAGTGTTCTGAATATACTGTCAGTCTCTGTATGTGATACTGCTATTCACATTAGACAAAGAGTCAGTGAATTTCTGAATGTATGAAATCGTATGTTTAGAATCTCTACAGCTGTTCCATATGTCTGTAAATAGCTTTAGAACTGCAAACATTGTTGAAATACTTGTACAAAGACTTACCATAAGGAAAGCAAAAGTGATTGTTAGTGTTGACAAATAGATGTAAGGAGCTATGAAGTTTAATATTGATTCTTGCTGTGTGAATAATACCGATAGAGCAGCAAACTCAAATTAAGAATGACTGAAGAAGTAGGCTTCTATTATGTTTAACTATAGGGAGTTTTGCCATGTGATGGTGGTTCATTGTGGAAATTTTCACCATGTGGCTGAAAATTAAAGGAAGTGTTGCAGGAGTTTGAGCATGCTCAGAATATTTTTTGTGGCTTTTTTCAAGTGCCATTATACTGATTGTCTCAAAAGCTGTATCTTTTTTAAGAATGATCTTCCTAAACGTGACATTTAAAACTGTTAGTAGAAGCTGGGTGGGTTCTGCTGTAACTGCTTGTGACCTGCTAATGCCATATGCTTCCTTATTTATGGGCTGATGTAAGCACCATCTTCTTTTTTCACCCTCATTTATTTCTAGGTAGTCCTGTCCCAAATGAAGAAGGATTTGTCGAATTTCGGATGGTAGGTCCTTTGAAATACATGTGGTGGTACCATGCAGTAGGACTCATCTGGATCAGCGAGTTTATCCTAGCCTGTCAGCAGATGACAGTAGCAGGGGCTGTTGTGACATACTATTTTACAAGGTAAGGACAACTTAGATAGCTCTACCAGGAGTTGCCTAGACATTGATTTTGCAGAAATAATGAGGGACAGAGGTCCTGGGGAGAATACTTGTTTCTGTCATGAAAGCTGGGGAGTCATTAAATGGTCTTGACTCTTTTTAAATCACATGAAGTCCTAAAATACGTGTTTTGCCGATTATAGATGGTGTCCTTGACATTTAGGACTTGAAGTCTCATTTGCCTTGTAACTTGTGCACGTTGTACAGGCATGGATGGTTGTTTACAAAGCAGGATGCACCTGGAAGGTCATCTGTGTTGCTAATAATTAATGCTGATAAATTCTGTAGAGATTAAAAAAATATTGACAGCATCTGATTATTATTTTAATTGCAAAAGAGTGCCCTTTAAATTATTTACAGTGCTTCATTGATCTTCATTATTCTTTCTTTCACAGGATTACTTGAGGTCTTATTAGATTCATCACTTACATATTGATTATGTCAAGATTATATAAAAATAAAAAATGATATGAACTATATGTGCATTAAAGCTCCATATTTCATTGCTAAATTTGTGAACTAAACTGTGTATCAGGGCTGTACTTCGTGCTGGCTGTTCTGCATGTATCTGCTGGCTGTCCAAGAAAGAAATACTAATTATTAGGCAATGGTTTTACAAAGCAAGAATTGTGCTTTACAGAGCTAATTTCAGAATTGCAGACTTAGATTTAGCCTCTAGTATCTGAAAACATTTTGAATTTAATATTGCTTAAAATTTTATCTTTAATAAGTCACTAATATGTGGCTTAAATAGCCATTTAGGACCCAGGTTTTTCAGAAAAAAAAAATTGGTATCAGATGCTTTGTTAGTGTTTCATGAGAATAAATGGTACTTTGGTGATCTGATATATTAAATTTTGGTATGTGGAGCAGAACTATGGCATTATTTTTGGTAAGGGAAAGAAGAAAGTACACCATTACTTACTTTGGAGAGATACAGTTGAATGAAACTTCTCCACATGTCATTGTAGATTCTAGTAGTTCATATGTTTCTTTAAAAAAAAAAAAAACACAAACCACTACATCATTGTTCAGTGACTAGATAACTAATTTTATTTCAGATGCTCTCAAAGTCTTTTCCAAACAATATAAATACAACTCCTCTGAATAAAGAACAGCATGAGTACAATACATTGGCAAGGTATTTAGCAATGGTAGTTTACTTAAGAAAGGGAAAACCATATAGATATTGGAGGGATGCTATCCCCAAGTGAAAAAGAGCATTAGTATCCTGAACTCATGCTGTACTGATGTCCAGCAACCATACTCTGTTCTTGCCATGTGCTTTTAAGAGTCTGTTCTTTAAAAAAAATAGATGTTTTTAAATGCTGTATGTATGTATGCAGGTATTTTTCAAGTGGCATAATTCAGATCATGAGTGTTTAGTTGGTTTGTCTTTTTAATTGAGGCTGTTACCTGAATTACATTTGACTCCTTTTTCTGCCCTACTCTTTAAACATTATCAAAGGCAAGGAATAAATTTACTGTGCTGTCAGAAATTCTGTTGTTTTATTAATGATTAAGTCCTCCAGTATACAAATGAAATACATCTATGAAATTATTACAAGATGTTACAGGGATGTAATCTTGTGAATAATTAAAATAGATTGAAGAGTGAGGAAAATACAGAGGAAGGAGAAAGACATTGCATTGAAATAGATTGCTTAGCAACATGTATGCTTCATCTGTAAGTTTATGTATTTTCTGACACCTGAGGGTGAATGACTTTTATTTTAACCATACCCTATAATTCCATAACAGGAATCTTATTTTAAGTTAGTAAATACTCATTTCTCTCTACTATTATCCTCTTTTTGCATTTTAAGGTACAATCATAATCTAAAAAGTGACTTAGTAAGAAGGGAAAAGGCATTAATTTGGACCCATTATTTTGCATATGAGCAACTTTCCACCGCAAATGAGATGAAGCTATCCATGGAGAAATGTTTTGTATAAGTTCACTGTTCGTTCACCTGAGCCAGATGGATTTCTTTCAACTCAGGCAATAACAGAGCTCAAAGTGTTCTGAATTACAGACTCTGCCCTGATAATGAGGAACCTGAAACTTTTTACCTGAAAACAAGGAAGTGTTTAGGTTGTCAGGGTGTAAGATTCAAACTATTTATGCATATTCTACTCCCAACAAGGAGCAGAGTTTGGCTTCTCACCCCTTCAGCTCTAAAAGTCAACTGAAAGAAAATACAGGGTTAACCTATTTTAATCATTAACATCTCAGGATTAAGTTATGCAGATATTAGTTTCATGGAATGAAGGCTGTACTTTTTTATCTTTTCTGAATGAAAGTCACATCTCTTCCCGAGCTGGGGAGATACTCTATCTTTGTAATGTGTAGCACATGTTCCTTTAATATGCTTATTATCCTGCTCTTATTTCTAATAAAGAAGAAGAGCAATTCTTTAAATGGTTAATAGAGCTGTTCTTTAAGAGAGAAACAGAATTGGCTTCCTTGGTAGGAAAGAAAAATAAACATTCTAAGAAGGACTAGCTTCAAACCATGAAAGTGAGTATTCTTCTGATAAATTAAAAATACTCTAGCTGCATTGGGTTAAATAACTTGTTTAAGGCCCAGCACTTGGTCTTGAGGACATAATAGCTGGGTCTTGAGGACATAATAGCTAAATCAGAAATGCAAAAAGTCTGAGAAAAAGAATTTACCTAATAAGTTAGTTACATCCTCTCCAAAGTCTACATGAAGATCTCCAACAGAACAGGAGAAAAGTAGAAGGCATTGTTTCTCACTTCCTTGTAAGATTTGAATTGCAATGTAACTGTATAGAAACTGCTAGGTGTTAATAGTGGGTAATGCAGCTAATGCTAGTAAAACTAACTATCACCAGTTAGTGTTTTAAGTCACTTAAAGAATCACCAGCAAAGGTATTGGCAAAAGTAGTTTTAATATAAAGGTAAAAGTGTGACATAAATCATTGACAAGGTTCACTCTACTACTCTACTAGATGGCTAAAGCACACAGAGAAAAAAATAGGAAAAAATCTAAAAATCTAAAATCAATCAAACTAAAACTAAAATCAACCTAAAATTATTTATGCAGAGGCTGGGGAAGGAAAAAGTATAAGGATGGGAAAGGATATGGATAAAAAGGCATGATGGAGACCCTCCCACTGAGTCACAAGGTTCAGAGCAGACCGCCTTGCCAAATTTAGCCCTGGACTTAACCAGCAGTTTAGGCCTAGAGGTTTTAACAGCACTTAAAATCACTTAGTCAATAGCCTAATTTAAACAATTTAGCAAAAGATTCTGTAGAATTTATTATAAGCACAACAGTAACTCATTTAGAGGCCTAACTTACTGACCAGTATAACACTTGTAGTACATAGTACATACACTTGCACACGCAGAGACCTAAAGCAGTATGTACAAGGTATCTACCTGTGAAAAATTCCCCCCAGGTTCACTGAAGTTCTCACATCAGATGCCTTTGCATCTTCTCAGCTGGCAAAGGTTGAGCTTTGAGGAGTGGAGATATCAGCCCAGGCTCCACTGGCAGCGCTTGACATCAGTCCTCCAAGTATACCAAACTTGGGAGTTCTGTGGCTCTGAAAAGCATCCCACTCAGAGGGAGATTGCTGGTCACAGACAGCTGTGGTACAGGAGTTTGTAGGGTTGCAAGAGCATTTGCTTTAGTGACAGGAATTTTCCATCCTTGCTGCAATTTGGGTCGGTAACTTTCTTGGAAAGTTCAATAACAAAAATGTTGTTCCACTTAGGTTGTTATTCAGGCGCAAAAAGCAAGTTTCTAGAGCTGTTCATTAAAAAACAGGAGCTCATTAGACAGGACAGGTTCCTGGGAGCAGACAGTGTTTCTGATATACTCAAGAGGAGCTGAGCCCAGGTGCTCTTTGCCAAGGCCTAACGAGCATTTCTGAGACCCTAGTGCAGCCCAGAGAGGGTGGGGAAGAAGGGGATGTACCACCACACTACCCATATGACATACTGATTCCTTATTCTAGTCCTACTTCTCCATTGGAGACAAATCTGTGAGTTACACAAGGTGGAGTGAACAATACACCCTGAAAGCTGGTATGAGGATAATATATTCCTTTTGCACCTTATTTTATTGAAAATTTATAGCACTTCTAGATGGTACCACATACATACTGACCGTTCTACTTCATTTTTTTTTTCTCTTTTCAACAGGGAGAAAAGAAATCTGCCATTTACTCCTATTCTGGCATCTGTTAATCGCCTTGTTTGTTACCACCTAGGAACAGTAGCAAAGGGGTCTTTCATTATCACACTAGTGAAGATACCACGAATGATTCTAATGTATATTCAAACACAACTCAAAGGAAAAGTAAGAGAAATAGGTTCCATTTTCTTACTGAAAATTAAGGCCTGGTGTGTTGACCTGTTAATTTGATCGGTGTGGGAGGCTTGAAGTCTCGTTTTGGAATAGGTTAGATGTAATGAAGAAATTCTTCACTATAAGGTGGTGAGGCACTAGAACAGGTTGCCCAGAGAAGCCCCATCCCTGGAAGTGTTCAAAAGCTTGTTGGATGGGGCTTTGAGCAACCTGGCCTAGTGAAAGATGTCCCTGCCCATGGTGGGGGGAGTCCCTTCCGACCCAAACCGTTCTGTGGCTCTGTGAATATTGAATCTTTAAAAGACCGTGGGACTGATATGGATTGCTTAATTTAGCAATCTGAGTATCGGTTACTGAAACACGAAGGAATACTATTTTCTTAAGATCTGTTGGTTTTACTCTTTATCTTTGTTTTCCCACAATTTGTGCTTTCCTAGGAAAATGCTTGTGCTCGCTGTATGCTTAAAGCCTGCATCTGCTGCCTTTGGTGTCTAGAAAAGTGCCTGACATACTTAAATCAGGTAAGATTTTCAATATTCATGTTTTATATAAGGGCTGATAATAGTATATATATTCCCAGGTTGCAGTCTGAGGCTGACACATAATGTATTGTACTTGGGAACTGAACTTGAATGACAGTATTTCAGTCTTGTCTTCATTACTGAAATTACACTGCAAATACTACATTGACCTTTGCAATGTAAACAAAGACAAAAGAATAGCCAATACTCGTCTTTGTGAACATGGTATCTCAACTTTATAACGATTTGTGTAGTGGTTGGAGATGTTTCCCATATGTCTACTCAGTAGAACCACGTCTGAATTTCAAAATGTGTCTCCTGTGAAAACAGAATGAAGCTTTTTAGGTGTAATATTTGAGATTCACACAATGCAGAAACTGTACAAAACATCAAATCGTCAGCATCATCTACAAAGTGGAAGAAAATTTGCAAGTTGCAACACGCTGGCTGGTCAGACCCATTGTAAAAATGGGTTTATAGGCCTATAGTCCATCTCTCATGTGTATATATATAAATATCTTGCTAACATTTCTTTCACTGTTAATTTTTTTTGCTTGTGGAGATATAGAAGATAAAATCAGAAGAAAGCATTTAATAAACCCCATTGTAATCCTTGAAAACTGTCCTGACTAACCTTGAATGCAGTACCTAGAAATTATCTTGTTTGACTTGTATGACTCTCAGACTCTTTTGTATTTCCAGATTTTTTTCTAACTACTTAATTTCTGTAGCTATGCCACTGCTCACCTCCTTCTGCAGAGAAATTGCAAATCCTGTTTAATGAGGTTTTTTTGAAAAAACTAGTTAATGCATAAATTATGAGCAAAGGAGAAGAAGAATAGCAGTTCTTTACCTCGTATAGTCTTCTGTCAGCTGCTCTATATTGCTTGATTCAACAACTCTCAGGGGAATGTTGGTTCATTAACATCATATGACGAATGTGACTTACTCAGGAGCTGTATCTTCCCCCTCACCTTCCCCACCCTCCATCTGAAATACCTGATGATTCTATGAATAAGTCTTCAACCTCCTTTTCCTAGAATGCATACACAGCCACAGCTATCAACAGCACCAATTTCTGCACCTCAGCAAAGGATGCCTTTGTTATCCTGGTGGAAAACGCTTTGCGAGTGGCTGCCATAAACACAGTTGGAGATTTTATGCTGTTCCTAGGAAAGGTATGTCTGCTGTATACAGTTCTTACAGACCTACATACAAGCAAGCTTTCTTTAGCAATGGCTGCACCCCAAACACAAAATGCCTTAAAAATCCTGTTTCTTAGTGTGCACTTATCACGTCCAGCTGCATCCCATTAGGAGGGGCTTTGTAGAGTAGAGAGGATAAACAAATGATGTACTGACATGTAGTAAAAGTGACTAGAGAGGAATACCTGAAGATTATGTCACCTTTTGCATGATTTATTTTTTAAGGAGTCAAGAGAAAAGTGTTTAGAAGTTCTAGGGTTTTGTTTGATTTTGTGGTTAAAATGTAGAATTCTAAGGAGAGGAAGCATTTCTTTTAAATTCTGTTCAGTAAGGGCTCTCCAGGCTTATGTTGAAAATTTGACACATTACTGATCACCTTTATGATCAAATTGTACAAAAGCCTGCTATGAGAAATTGCCAGCCTAAGCAACTAAGTTACCTCTACTCTGATAATTAAAAGGAGACTAGAATAGTTGCTGTGGTCAGTCAGCTTTTTGGGTCTCCAACTGATGGAGACACACTTTATGGAAAGTGTAGTATTTCTATCCTTTGAAGGATTTTATGCCATTATTTACTAAAACAATTAATACCAATCTACTTAAATCACCTGTGCCTAAGCATTCAGATAGTGGTTGAACTCATCTGTATTTCTTATTACACTCCTCTACTTCTGTTAAGTCAGAGTACAGTGGGCTGAACTTTGAATCCAGTAACTAAGTCAGTAAGATGTGAGAAGGAATAAACACATAAGGGAGACATAAGTGCTTGGGAGAACATGAAATTACATAATGCAGTTTTTGTGGAGGAGTTGGAAAACACCCCCCAGTCTCTCAGATTATTAGAAAAATGCACAGGTGACAGAAATGTTAAAATGAACAGTGTCCAGCATGTAAAAAATACCATCAGCTAAATCAATGCTAGGCTGCCAGCATCTCCTCTACCAGTCCAAAATGGTATTTTCATAAAAGCTGACCTATTTTACAATTTTATGTTTAGCTGCAGTTCATAATAATAGACTCAGAAATGTTCAAAAAGTTAAGTGGCCACAACAATTTAGTCCATTTGGTTTTGCCAAAATCAAACTGGTACCTGGTGAAATGTCTGTTAGGGCCTCACATGAAGTATAATTCTGTGGAGACTGTTACATGAAGTGCCTCACATGAATTCTGGTCTGCTTTCTCCTGTATGGAAGTGAGATAAAGACTACACAAGTTTGGAAGTTGTTTCCAGCAGCAAAATGGAAAATGTACCATCCTCTTAAGACCTAAGTTCTCCCTCCAACCAACCCAAAAAAAAAAACCCCCAACAAAACCAACTGCATGGGATTGGTAGCATCAGGTTGTGGGGCTTTTAGAGATTACAGGATAAAGTTCCTTTTTATAGGAATGTTCTATAAAACTAGAACTATGACAGCAGAATATAAATATAATTTGCTCTGAAAAATACCTTTTGTATTAAAGGATGTGTAACAATTCTGATATCAATGGATAAAATGTCATTTATAATCGGGGATGTGGGGAATCCAGGAGGTAAAGATGTTGTTACCACTAGTATCTGTAACCCCTAATTCTAGCCCTGGCAGGCCAAGAAGCACATTGGCTTTAAAAAAATAAACCAACCAAAAAACATCAAAAGGCTTCTGCCATTAGAGTTGTCTACTGTTTTCTTCTTCAGGTCCTGATTGTCTGCAGCACAGGTTTGGCCGGCGTTATGTTGCTGAATTACCAACGAGATTACACCATCTGGGTGCTGCCACTCATCATTGTCTGCCTCTTTGCATTCCTGGTTGCTCACTGCTTCCTTTCTATTTATGAAATGGTTGTTGATGTCCTTTTCTTATGTTTTGCCATCGATACAAAATACAACGATGGGAGTCCTGGGAGGGAATTCTACATGGATAAAGTTCTCATGGTAAGTTTCCTCTTGCTCTCAAAGTCTAAGGATCTGGTTCCATAAAATAGGTATTTTGACAGTGGAATGAATTCACTTGCTGGGTTTAATGTTTTGTTTGTTTTTTTTTTTACCTTGCCACCTTGTTCATGGCTTGACCTGCAAACAGTGTAGTCTGATGAGCATCAGATAAGTGATGATGCTTCCTTCCCTTAGTTTCACTGTTATTGGCTTTTATTTGCTGCCTGTTAGATGAGCAGTCATCTTGCAGAATCATACTCTGGGGTATCATGTCTTGTAAATGACACTGCAGATTAGAAAGAAGCAGAACAAGAGGGAAAGGCTTGGTTTTGTGCTTTCCTAAGAAGGACATCTCTTTGGGTAGGGAAGAGGAAAAATATCAGAGTATTCTACCTTACACATAGATGATGACCACAGTGGAGTTTTACTTCTTTCAGATAGACATCAACCAGAATTTGACTGTCTGTCATACGTAGGCTTTATGCTAGAAACAAAGTTGTAAGAATTCTGCTTCCAAAACCCTTCACTTTGTTGTTGAGTAGGTAGTTTTCTTGAGAGTGTTTTTAAGTAGCAGCTGTAGAATATGTCTCTGTAAAATGCCCCACCAAGCGTGGGCTAGAGGAAGATTCTTATGACTTCTCAGTCATAGAAAATTTTTTTTCTGATTGCTTGTGGGAAAACCATGCTGAGAATTTTGGTGCTGATTTTTTGGTAAATCACAACAGACTCTAGAGTATATAATAAATAAAGTGGTGGCTGATGAGTTGCTTTTTAGCAAGAAACACCAATAAACCATAAAAGCATTGTAGGTTTCTTTAGTCGTGCAGTCAATATCACAAAACACGAGCAGCTAAAGTTTACTGAAATTTGCTGCAGAATGCTTGCCTGCAAGCGAAAAAAATTGTGTAAAATTGAATTAGTTTAGCTAATCTTCGTAAATGAGATTGTACTGGTGAAAAATTTAAGAGATTGAAATTACACACAGTTCACAGGCTACAATGTAATAGCTGAGACTAGGATGGTGTTGGGGGGAGGTTTGTTGTGGTTTGGTTGTGGGTTTGGTTTTTGGTTTTGGTTTGTGGGTTTGGGTTTTTTTTGGTCAGCCAGCCTTTTATCTTCTTTCCCCATAAAGGAGAGCATTGCGTGGTACATGGAAAAGTTGTAAGAGCACACCAGGCAAATACCTGTCTGGCTTCCAGAATTAAATGAGGGAGGCCTTTGTGGATATTTGACAGGCTTTTCTGATACCTCATGGTCAAGTCTGAGCAAGACATGCAGATGGGCTTGATGTTTTGAGCAGTTGCATCTTGAAGTTCTGTCTTGAGACGATGTTTTAGAGTCTGTGCTAAGAGAGCACTTGTCGTTTCATTACTGTTTTTCAGGAGTTTGTGGAGAATAGTAGGAAATCTATGAAGGAAGCTGGCCGGGGAGGTGGAGCTGAGAGCAGAGAGCTAAAACCAATGGTAGGTGCAGATGAGGAGGTGGCGATCCTCCAAGAGTTTCACTTTTACTTCTTCTCCCTCTTTGTCTTTACTGACTGCACTTCTTCAGGAGAAGTTTTTGTTCTCTGTATCACTCAAGATGTTCTGCTTTTTCTGTTTGTGAGCTTGCCTATCACCTGGATGGCAGAGTTTTTGTCACAGCTGAGACCATCTCCTGTAAAAGTAAGATGAAAGGAACTGTCTCATATGAAACAAATGCAGTATATTTCATTAGGATTCATGAGGCATGCTATGTGGTGTACACAGACAGCCCCAGTTACTGTTTAGTCTAAAAATAAGGTGGCTCTGAAATTCATTGGGCTATTCTGACTTTAATCTCTTCTCGGCCCTGAGATGAACAATTTTTGCTCATGTTACATTCACTGCAAAAGCCTGAAGAACACTACTGAGCGCAGCCATTGTTGCAAAGTAGGACCAGGCATTTAAAGCCCTCACCAAATTATCTTACACCATGCCAAGGAATTGGATACAGTGATTCCTTTCAACCTGCTCAAATGACATTTCTCCCAGTTGTTTGTTTTTATTGCGAACTACTTATGTTGCTTGTCTCTTGTGTGCTCTTTCCATCTCACACTGTCAGATGCACAGACAGTGAACAATGCATCATTTATGCTTTTGCAGCCTGTTTTACTTATGGTGTGCCTGTTAGGAAGGCATTGCATGTCTGAGTAGCCTGGAATAAGGAACACTATACATGGTACAGATAACAGATAGGAGGATAAGTTTGGAAGGTGGAGAACAGAGAGCGTATAATGGAGAGCCAGTCTGGGCAAGGTACGACTTGTCATTGTGCAATATGATTTTGTGAAATAGAATATTTTTCTGCCATTACTTTCTCAGAGCGTTTGGGGTCTGAGTCATTTCCATACTATGGGGATAATTTTTTAACCAAATGGAATCTAAATAAGTGTATGCTAACAGAAGAATTTATTTTTTTTCAACAATGTACATGAAGCCATTTTGCATGAGCACTTTTTTGAACAAGCTGGAATGGGTTCCTGCTATAGACTGATGTGTAGCTTTGCGTGTTTTGCTATTTCATTATGGCATACCAGTTTCTAGGTTTGCTTATGCCTAAATGCTGCTGTGTTTATACATATGAAAAACTAATTCTATGCTCATTTACTGTTTCTTCTGGGAGTAATTCTAGCTGTTCAAACAGACACTAATGTCGGGATTTTCAGAGTGATCCAAATGCTGTAGATGCAAATGTGCCATTAAAAATTATTGAGACTTTGGGTGTGCAAACCCTCTAGTCACATGCACAAAAATTTCAGTTCAAAATTTTATTATGTAGTGGTTTTCCACTTACACTGTTGTCGGTACTATCACAGACCGCTACTTATACTTTTGTACCTGACTGCCTAAAGCTTGGATGGGAAAAACCTTTATTCACCTCGCCCCTTACAAAAGGGCAAACAAAGTTACCTGCAAGTCAAGGGTGGTGTTATTCTTGTAGGAACTTGTTTCTAGGCACTTGAGCCTGGTACTGGCTGAAAGTCCTCATAGGACTACTGCAGAAGATGCTGAGCACTTGGGGCTCAGCATGGGAGTCACCTGCTGAATTACTCCCAGTTCTGCTGCTCATGTGATTGTTTTGTTTGGAACTGATTGGGCCTTGTTTTCTCAAGTGGCTTTCCATTTTTGGGCATTCAGCTCCAGTTGAGTGGGTTTTGAAATACTAGGATCTCACTTCCTGACAAGGATGGGACACAGTGGTTACCTCCATTAAATTTCTGATACCTTCCCCAAAGTGTCAATAAAGGCCTCAGTTATGTCTGGCATAGAACCATTCATAAGTCTATTCTGTAATGGTAGTGCCCATAGTCTCGAAATTGCATGTCTGAAAATTAGATTACTACTACTATTTTTCCTGTTCTTTTAGAAATAGAATCTCTACTGTCTTGCTTCTGTACCCTTGAAATGCATATATTTCTTAGAATATGACAATTATTTCTAAAAGTGAAACACCCTAAGTGGAGTTGTACTTAAAGTAGGTAATAATAGCAGAGACGAGGAAACATTTAGGACCTTCTGTTCTTGTATCAGGGCACAAGAAAAAAAACAAACACCTTTTCACACTTTTTTCTTTATGGCTTCCAGCGACCCCTTTGACTCAGTTTCTACTTGTCCTTTGGCATTTGTCTAAGACTGTACTGTATGACTTTGTTTTCTAGGCCTCTGGAGCAAGTTCATCTTGAAACTAGCCAGCCATATTGGAACCCATTGACATTCCAAAACAGTATATATATACATATATACATATATATATATATATATATAAATAAACAGCCAAAATCAGAGAAAAGGAACAGGGATTTAAAACTTTTTTTAACAATTATTTTTGTGAAACATGTACTCTTTTCATACGGGTGGCTTTTACAAGCAGCTTTATCATTGTTCCGTTTCTTAAATTATTGATTGTGGTCATGGAAATGTTGATTCTTATCTGCTTGGTATTTTACAATCTGGAGGAGGTATCGTTGTAAAGATAATCTGAAATCATGACTGGGTTTAGAGACAGATTTCCCATGACATTGCTAATCTGCTGAGACTTTTACTTGTTTAGTTTCTTTTCAATTTGCATTAAATTTGGGACAGTCACATGTACAGAAAACCTTGAAATCAAGAAAAGTCTTAAATTTAGTTTTTCAGAAGGTGGTTTCAGTGAGAATTCATTCAGTTCAAATTGGTTTGTAAGCAGTTATTTTACTTTACAACCCTGGCAGGGCACAGTTTTGTTTACCAGTATCAGACATCTCAATAACCAACTCCTCAGGTATTCAGGTGTGTGGGAGCCCTTGCATCTCCTATTAAACAGAACCTACAAAATGGGGACAGATAATTTTTATATGCAATCAACTTCCTGCTTTACCCTACTTGCCCCTCATACCCGTTGCCCTCTATCCTCCCCTTGAGTTCAGTAACCTCCTTCACACTTCAGCAGTGTTCCTTTGAAGGGTATGGATTCTGCATATGGGCAATTGAAATAACAGATTGTTAAAGCTCAGTCTTAGCCATACTCATGATTAATTCATGACTAGATACAAAGATGCTGAGGAGGGGAAGAGAAATGAACTGTACTACTGTACATAAAAAAGTACTGTATGCTTCATTTCATTTAATGTCAGAGAGCTCTGGGAGGTAGAAGGGATCATTCCTTGCCTGTTGTTTGATCCATATATGTATGTACTGTAGTGGGTGGCTAAAACGGGAAAGGGCAGAGAAACATTTCTTTGGAAGTGTAGCTGCCAGGATCTGAAGTTATTAAATAATGACAAGAGAACATGCTTTTTTATTATTAGTAGTAGTACAAAATTTCTTTTCAGTCTGGAAGCTCGCCAGATATGAATGCTAATATTCAATTATTCAACTTATTGTAATGGTAAATGCTTAAGTGTATTTGCTAAGAATTCATGATCTGTCTATGCTATATATTCCTTTTGTTACAATTTTTTTAAGAAAACTATTTTTGTTAATGTAAAGTTAATATTTCAGAGCAGAATTTTTAAACTTATTGCACTAAATACAAGCTCTCTACAAATAAACGATGCCTCAATGGTACGATCACTCCATTCAAGAAAATCTTTTGAAAGAGAAAAGTCTTTCTACAGAAGCTTTGTAATGGAGTAGAGAGGTATGTCTAGGTAGAGACATGCACAACTCATGTTATCAAGGTTTAGTAAATAAGCAGTTATTTGTGCTTCCTGTCAGAGGATCAGACTTCCAAATCGCTGCTGAAGATTTAAACAATTATGTAGTATCATGTAGCTAACTAGTGCTCTTATCTTTTGGCAATAGTAAAATATTTCACTTTTGCTTCCAGAAGGCATTTGATAGCTTAAATTTGGTAGGTTTTCTTTCGGTAAGCCAGTTAAAAGAAGGATTTACACTTTTCATATCACAGACCCCAAACTATGTGAGAGGTGTGAAAATAAAGGTACATGTAGAAAGGATAGCTGCTGGGGAGGCAGAGAGACAGAATTACTCAGTCCTGGAAGCACTTAGACACTCATTTAAGTGAACCATATCAGTACCTCCACTAACATCAGAAGGGCTCTCTAAGTATTGAAGTTGTAACTTACACATCTGTGTAAGTGCTAACTGGGCTAGAGCTTCAACCTAGGGATTCAGACTGGAGCACTGGTGAGGCCTCTCAGTGCAAGTTAGAGGTCAGACTTGCCTAGAAGAAGCACTGGAGCAGTCTTACTTTTGTGGAGGGGAGACCTTCCTGCTGTACCAGTGTCTAAGACAGCAGTGGCTCTCAACACCAATATTTGTGTAGATCAGGAGGGTTTAACCACGCCAGAAATTTAAAAACTGGCTTAGATGAATCCTAGAAACTGGATTCCAAGGCTAAAAGACTTATCGAGTACTACCCAGTTGCTTCCAGAAAAATTAATTTTCTTCTTGTTTGGAGGCTATTGGAGGTGCTTAATCAAAGAAGCCTTGTATTCTGCGCATTTTGATAAAAAAGTTCTGCCACGACTGATCCCACAAGTTTGTGTTCCCTGCTCACTGGAAGTCCTGAGTGGGGACTTTTCTCTGTAATTGCAACTAGGACTGCAGTTGGAAACAAATTTTGTATTTTTGTATTACTTGACTGTGCACCATTTTTATAGCAGTTTATCCTGTCTTAAAAATAAATTTGTTTTATTTACATGGTGTTTATAAAATTGTGTGCACCACTCTTGAGTGTATATCTGGCATGCAGAGCTTTTAAGTCATGCCAAAAAGGCATTCCATCCACATGCAGATTTTCCAGTGGCCCTTTAAAGCTTTTGAATGTCCTTTGAAGTTCATTTGCAACCAAACTACAAGCTGCCCTCTTCCAGCCCTGTCTTGTGCAGGGAGATAAGCAGAAGACAGAGTTCTGAAGAGACAACTTTTCAGGAGAAATTGAGACTCTGCTTTCCTGTCCTAGTGGGGATAGCGGAGTGAGAGGACACTTTGGCATGTAAATTGCTATAGAAATGTTGGCAGTAGGGGTGCTGGGCTCTGCCAGTTGTGATGGATTCAATACTTTTTTTTTGACTGTTGGTTATTAAAGCCAGTATGTGGACTGCTTTGTGGGAAGCAGTCTAGACTAACTAGAGAGCGATGCTGCAGCAAGAATAACAATGCAGGAGGAGCAAGATGAGACAGCTGAAACAGAGAAATCATCTCCTTGGCAAGTCAATTGAACCAAGTACTGCTTGAGGACTGGAGATTTAGACTGGACAATCTGGGTTTAGAAACAATCAGTGGGATTACCAGTTCCCAGCCGTTGGTTTCCGCAGATGGTCTGTATCATAGCCTCAGACCAGCTAGGTTACAAAGGGAAAAAAGTATACAATTCTTTAAATTGCTAAAATTTTTACACATTATTTTACTCACTGTTTTATTTGGAAGTTGAACAGCAGTGTGTAATCTTTATTGCTTCTTCCAGCCCTGGAGGATTTATTTTTTGTGTTCTTTTAGGTCTCATTTCTGTATTGCTCTTTCAGTAAAGGAGTGCCAAGTGGCAGTGTCAGCTCCCCTTTGTCCCACTGATCTTACCACATTCCCTCTCACCTTCCTGAGGCAGTGATTTAGGATATCACCTGGACAATGAGAGGGGGAGTAGGTGCTGAGCTAAAGTCCTAAGATAGGATTTTTTTTTTTATGATATCACTCCATCACTGTGTTAGAAGTGCAACCCATCTCTTCCGCAGTTTCACTGCTGTTCCACAGCTAGGCTAAATGCTATGGCCAGCTTAGAATTGCATCTTCAACCTTCTCGTAACTCCCAGCTGCCTAAAACAGGATGGGGTTTTAAATGTGGCCTTAGCTTGGCATAGTAACTGAAGGACTTTCTGCATTAGGGAGAGGGGAGAACTAACAGTGGAAAACCCAGTTAAAATGCTGTGGTGGGTTGACCCTGGGCTGTCATGTAAGCTGCTACTCTGTTGCTTGCTCAGACCCCACAGAAGGATGGGAGAGAGCAGTGAAAGGACAAAAAGCGCTGTTATAAAGGCAGTTCATTAAGTAAGAGAAAAAAAGAAACCCAAGTGATACAAAGGCAATCACTTACCATCTCCCACCAGCAGACAATGCCCAGCCAATCTCCAAGCAGTGGCTACTTTGGAACCACCCCAGGTTTATAGCTGAGTATGACCTTATTTGTTATGGAATATTTCTTCAGTCTGTTCAGGTCAGCTGTCCTGGCTGTGCACCCTCTCACCTCTTTGGCCAACTCCAACCTACTCTGCTGGAGTAGCAGAGTGACAAACAGAGAAGGCCATTCACCCTGTGCAAGCACTGCTCAGCAACAGGTAACATTGATAACATTGTGTTATCAAACACTCCTTTGGTTGCAGATCTGTAACACAGCACCTTGTAGGTTGCTGTGAAGGAAATTAACTCCATCCAGCCTAACCCAGTACACAGGTCCACTTACCCAGTAGTTAATCCAAGACTTGCTCCCTGCATTTCTGTACAGCATCTTCTCAGGGTGGTTACTTCTTTCTGAAAGGGCTTTTTTTGCAGCAGGCAATTAGCCTGCTCCACAGTGCTCCCTTTCATGGAGGGAGCAGGGGATGTTAGCTCTTACTCTTTCAGCACATAATGGGGATATAACGCAAAAATGAGCCCTTTCTGTATCAGTGTTCTGGCAATTGAGCAGCCAGTGTTGGAGACAACGTATTTAATGTGCCCTCAGGGCATGCACTTTAGCAGTTTGCTCTGAGTGGTTATGATGTATTCTATGAATGTATGTTATAGAGTCAGAATAAAATGCATGTAGCAGACATATACTTGTCATCCAGTGAGCATTTGATTCAGAGTGCATATTACATGCTATATTGAACATGGCACAGTCGTTTTGAGAAACAATCGTAAGATTTATAAGTAGGTACCTGACAGCATTCCTGTTTTTTAAATCATGGCTTTGCCTGTGCAGATAATGTTTACTAAATCTAAGTATCAGTAGCCCATTGTTTCTTGAACAGCTTGTGTGTCACATTATCAACACAGAAATCCTATTTCATCTTTGTGAAAAAAAAAACAAAAAACACCAACCTTGTGTTTCCCAACACAAGACCCAACAGACTTATTTGAAGCATTTCTTGCACTCAGCTTCTTTGTTGAGATGATGAAAGTTTACTCTAAATATGTCATTTCCAAATGGTTTTTCAACTATTTCATCTCGGCTGTTATTTCCATCACATAACAAGATTATGGAAACTAGTAAATCTATATTTCTTGTGTTCTGTAGCGAATACTGTTCTCAAGGTATTTTTTTCTTTTATATTTAAAGAAGTGAGAGAAGAGATGAAACTTATCTCTTGTGATATGGGTCACGTATAAAAGGCAGAATTTCTGGTCTGGGATGGAGCTGTGATGTGTCTTGCAATGTTCGCAAGCTGATGCAATCAAGCCGAAGCTCCTCAGAGACTTTAGGATTATGAAAACATTCCTAGGGACAATTGGTAGCATGAATCAATCTGAAAATACCCATTTGGAGGCTAAACTATTGGAGGCATTCATTTGGCAGAGATCTGCTAAAAGGGAACTAGCAGAAAACCAGCAAACACCCATCAGATTCTACTCCCCTGTCTCAGTGAGGTCAGGTCATTGAATGTGAGCGTGATGAGCAGAATTCGGTGTTTTAAGCGTTTGGTACTTTTCTACAGAAACGTAGGACTCCACTTAGAATGAAAGTTGGGAGAATTCAGAGCAAAAGTACCAGCTGACTTGAACAGAACTGGTCTTATTTCAGTAATGTTAAAGACAGCTATGACCTTTCTAAGTATGTGGCAGCATAGGTAGCTGCAATTCCTCAAGTGGACAACCTCTGTGGCTTGAGTGGAAATAGGGACAGCTAGGGAATTATTCCAGAAACACTTGGTGAGATTAGCAATTTTGACTACTTGTGAAACCCAGCAGAAATTGAGCACTGACGTTTCCACCGAGGTCACAGTTTTTAACTCTCAAATACCATGTGTGGTCCATGTTAGTATTAATTGGGTCCCTCCCTGCTGCTCAAACCGAAAAGGAAGAATATCTCTCATTTGGAAAACAGTGCTGCAGACAATGCTGTAGTGCGTCCTGGGGGAGTGAGCGAGTAGAAAATAGAAAGGTGGCTTTGTTTCTAATGTGGGCTAGAAAGCAGAGGCCAAAGGTTAGGTGGAGCCATGGAGAGTAGGATTTCACAGGTAGAAAATATTCTGCAGAATCTTCACAATAGTTAAGGAAATTCGTGTTCCAATTCAGACATCTCACAGCAACATCCCCTGTGTCCTGCTTTTATTTTGCCATGGAGCTCTTCAGAGCAAAAATGAAGGTGGAATCTATACCTATAGAAAAGAATTATTTCTGTATGATGGATTGTGTTGCTGATTACAGAAACTACCCTAAGGAAAATCTTCTGAACATATTTTAAAGGCTTGACAGTACTTGCATTGTCATAGTCCATCAAAGCTTCATCTGAAAACGAATTTTTCATCCTCCTTCACTCATACTTTTAACAGGGCAATCAAATCCCTGGACTGACTTAGTGATTTACATTGAATCAAGATCAACTAACAAGTGCTCCTTTTTCCAGTGGAATGCCACCTCCTTTGAAAATGGGAAAAGTAAATGTGACACTGTTTATTGTTGTCTTGGGAACTTAAAATGTTTTATACTGCAAGCTGTGAATGCAGGAAGAGAAGAAAAATTAACAGTGCTGATCTAATCTTAGATTTTCTGTGTAAACTGACATTGTGCCAGGATACTGATGCAAAACTGTATTTTAGTCTAAGAAATGTATAGATTTTTTAATGTATCAAAATAAAGTTTTCCTTTTAAGTAAGAAAGAAATTTCTCTGTCTTCCATGCGGGGTGCTTAAGTCCAACTCTTCTTAACAACACAATCTCAAGTTCCTGAGAAGCAAGCAGAGCCCATGCAAGTGTTTTCCCAGCCTTCATTTTGTTCTGTGCCTGCCCTTTAGCTGAGTAGCAGCAATAATGCTGGACATGTTGTCCTGGTGCCAAGAGAAGCATTGTGGTGCTTAATGTTTTCCTAAGATGGGTGTGCCAGTGGAGTTTTGTAGAGCAAAGGTGGGGTTTTTTTCACAGTCTTTCTTCTCACTGATCATCTGCTCCTCAGCTTCTCTCCAGCATGTTGGAAACTGCCCCTCTAAGCCAACATTTTCACCCATCATCAGGTTCCTTAGCCTGCCGGGTGTGCTGAAGGTCAGTCACATGCAGAAGCAGTTGAGAAGCTTTTGCTGTGGAAAGGGAGAGGCTGCAGTCACACATGCACAGGAGTCCCTTGCTCACACCCGGGACTCTCAGGACTGCTGATGCTGTCTGGAGCAGACTGGCTAATAGTGTATGCTTTGCCTCACAGGGACAGCTATGGGGGAATGCAGAGTAGGGAGGGATGATGGAAATCTTGTTATGTATTACGAGCCATGCAAACTGCACATCCCAGTGCAGCACCTCTTTTGGGACAACTTCCTTGTTCTGCAAGGTCCTGTACCTGCTTCCCACTCTGCTGAGCCAATCTAACAAGCTTGGATAGCTAAAGATGGATGGTGAGTAGAAGCAATAATAGTACCTGTGTGATCTTACCAGCAGAGGCACCTGCAGTCACAAAGATTTCTTGTACTCTCCTCTCCGTCCCATGGGCACAGCAAATTTCTGCTTTCTTTGCTGCCAGTTTCTTTTTAATACACTAGTAAGCCAAACTGAACCATGTTTTCTTGCTTCTATTACTCTTCACTGCAAACCACTTCAGCACTGCATTTGCATGAGATGGTTTACTTTGTCTGGAAACCACTGCCACTTCTGAACTGGAGACTGATGCTGTTGTGGCCACTCAGTAAATACCGTCAGGATGAAAAGGACCAGGCAGCCCATCAGACAGGACCTCTGCACACAGGCAGGGTCCCATGCTGGGGACCCAAAGAGTCCTACTGCATGTCAGTGTTCCGCAGTTCCTCTGAAGGTATGTCCCCTTGGCTTGGAGTGTCTGTTTCATGGGTTATTAATGGTGAATCTGCTTGGCTGGGTGGGTTTAGCTGTGTGGAGCAGAAGGGACTCTGGAGATACCCTTCTTCACCACTGGAGGTGTTAGGGGAAGGAAGCATAACATAGCATACAGATTATAAAAACCCTGTCTGGTTTCCACTGGATTTTGCATGTGTCAGAACTGTAGAACAGAAGCTTTCCTCACCCTCTGTAGCAGTGAGGGACTGAAGCACTGTCTGCAGGGATTGGTGCTGATTCCCTCAGCTCAGAAACAAGAGTTTCATGACCTCCAGGGGAAAAAAAAAAGGGGAGTGGGGGTGGGCTACAAGCGGGCTGCAGAGGGCTAGCGAGAGAAGTATATGTAGGGAGGACAGAATGAGACACAAGACTTGAAAGGAAAACCTCAGGCTACGGTGGTGGAATGAGCAAGAAAATCCTGCTCACACTGTGAATGGGAGAGCAGGGGCCTAGAGACAGAGGTCTGGAGCTGCAAAAGCAGGATTTGTCCTTCAGTCACACAGCATTTCCCACTGCCAGGACATTATGCATGCAGTATGCATGTACCTGTGAACACCAGCCTCGGGACTCACTCCCTGGCATCGGCAATTGCAGAACAGCACAGGCAGGTGCCTCCTCAGATCCCTGAGCAGCCCTGCTCTCCCTCTGGAGATGAAGGACCAATCTCCTTGCTTGCAAGACAGCACAGCTCCTTGGCCACTGCAGGAGCTCTCCTGCCTCGTGTAGAGGATGGGCCCCTCTGTGTGCAGCATTTGGTGTGCAGCAAACAGGCTCCTTCTCCGAGCCAGTGAGGCCAGATCCTGTGCTGCAGGAGTCTGACACGGCTCCTTCCCTCCACCACAGGCCACTGAGGAGCTGACCCAGTTTTAGTCGCTGGTATTTAGATGTTTAATGAAGATTAGCTAGTGCCCAGGGAGAGATTATTTAGAATTTCTAATTACTATTTAAATTATGAATGTGTGAAATGGATGGAGCTTGCAGTCCTGCACACAGAACACCTGAAAAAGCTTTTTCTGACACCTACTGCCATAATCTCCCTCTAATGCTTAGTTATTTTCTACCTTAGGTACACTAAAAACAAAGTGGAAGAAAAACCAGCACCAGGGCAGATTTTCTGATTTTTTGGAGCAATCAAATCTAGAAATAAAGCCTATGACAGAAGCTACTGAATTGTTTTATCTCACTATCCCAGATGACAGTAATCAAATGGAAGACAAATAAATGGGTGAGCAGGTATTTTACACTGCAGTCCTCTGAAGAAGTCACAGGACTGAACCCTGTGCCCTACCAAAAAACAAACAAGTAAACAAACCCACAAACAAACAAAAAACCAAACCAGTCTGCCACAATCCCAGAAATAGTGATATTTCCTGGTTTTAATTGCCTTTCTGATGGCTCTTAGTTGTATTCTAGTTATAAATATGAAGTCCTACATACAAACTTTGGGCAAAAAACATCCAGTAGGCATTGGCAATGCCAGATGAAGCCACCTCTCCTGATTGCAGGGCCTGCCATGTCCCCCTGTCTTTGCTCCAGGGGCTTCCAGGTAAGAGAGGGAGATGTGGACACCTGCCTGGGGCCAACACACTGCTGGTCCACGTGGGGCTCATCATGTGCTGTCTTTGTGCCTCCCTTTCCTCCAAGACGGGGATGCCATGAAGGCCAAGTACATTAAAAGCCAGTCGGCACTCAGATTCTGCAGGAGGACGGACGAACTAAACGGGCAGGTAAGGCTATGTGTGAAGTTGGGATTTAAATATGCCTCTCTGCAGCTGCAAGAGGCAGTGAATCGAGTGGAAGTTTCCCGGTGCAAGGGAAATAATACAGACATGAACACCTCAGACTCATTCATCGTCTTATAGGTAAAATATCTGAAAGCTCAGTCTTCTGCTAGCAAACCCCCTCCGGTCCTGTAGTGGGTCTTGGTAGCTCCTTAAATATGTGAAGTCATCCTGACTTCCTGTCACCATAAGTCATCTACTGATTTGTTTATGACATTTCTGGTTTCAGTGAAAGCTTTCCTGGCACTGGGTGCAATTCAGTATCCCACAGTCTTCTGTGTCAGGATTCATTGCCCTTACTTTTCATCAACAGAAGGAGAGAGTAGCACTGTCAGTCACAGGGAAGTAGGGAGGTCTCAGAAGAGTATCTTGAGAGAATCTTATTTTGGTTTTTAAGCCTCTGATAACTGGAAGCAAAGTGTGCACAAAGCACTCTGTGAAAGAACCAGACCAGAAACAAGATCTCTCAAATCCCAGGCTGGGAACACCACTAGAAGTGCCTGCTTTCTGCAAGAATTAAAATTCACTTGTTGAAAGGCACTGCTGGGTCTCTTTCAAACCTCTCCAAATTGCACTACCACAAATTACAACAACAAAACCTGACTGTAGTACCTAATGTCGGAACACTGCTGGAGGAAGTAAAGGGTTTTCAAAGCATGAGTTTGCTGCCTGTTCTGTAAGGCCTGGTAGAAGGAATGCGGAGGAGTGCCTCCTTCTTACAGGCACAGAAGTCCACTGTCTCCAGGCAAGGAGCATCACAGCTTGCCTTTGAAAGCTCTGGTGTTGGATCTGTTCATCATGAGACAGCACAAAGACCAGAAAACCTCAGAGGGGTCTGTATTGCATTGCAGCAGGAGACCAGCCTGCCAAAAGTACATGTAAGGTTCACGCTGTTTATGATGAAGAGGAAGCTTGAGAGCTTTATCAAAATATAATTTGCTCCCCCCAAAAAACAACCAGCACAAGAGTTTGTAGGTCTGAATTTCCCAGAAGATGCACAGCTTGAAAAGCTGTTAAGCCTCTTAAAGAAATAATAAGGAATCAAATCTTGAATTAAGGGGGTAGGAGAACTATACACAATAATTCACATAATTATGTTCGTGGGCCAGGGCCCCCCCCCGTGCGTAACCACCATCTGAACTTGCTTTAAGAATAGCACATAACAAGGCAAGTAAAAAGCACACATTGAGTTTTCGAGCTGTGGGGGCAAAGCAACTCCTTTGAAGTGAGTTGAACATTTGATAGGCGGCCACAAGCTGTGGTTGGCCTCCAGAAGGGCCCCAGCCATGACACAGTGAAGGAAGTGGGAGGAAGGAGGGAATGGACTGATGGCAAAGCCTTGTTCAGTGTCCAGGCTGCTGTGGAGCACCTTGGATTTGCACCCTGTAGCTGTACCCACCCCACTGAGATCCTGCAGATGTTTTTCAGCTAACCCTTCTGGAGGGATCAGGTGACAAATGCAGTCAGCAGGGAAAAGGCAGTGGGAAAGCCAATGTGGAAAAAGCAATAAGCAGTAATGAGATGCCAGAATTCGTAGAAGCTCCTCAAAAGTGGGCTGCTGGAAAGCTCAGAGGAGATCCAAGACCCAAGCCATGCTTATGGGCAGGATGACAGTGGTGTGTTTCTTTGCAGGGTGAGTATCTGTGCTCATAATTACAACTGCTGTAATAAACACAACTGCTCCTGCTGGCAATTAAAAATAGGTTGGTTTCGGCTGGAATTAAGCATTTTGCATGGAGGTGTTTGGGAAAGTCATATGAAGACAAATGAGCCCCTGCAATCTGAGCGTCACTGGATTTGC